TAATTGTCCGTACTAGTCCATACTATATATATAGTATGGACTAGTACGGACAATTAAAACTGAGGACATAATCTACTACTGCTTTAGGATATAGAATTTATAATTTTGAGTTTATACTTAGAATTATACTATCACCACCACTATCATTATCTCTACTATTACTACTATCACCTCCTTTTTGAAATCTAACGTAAATCTTTTATTTATTTCAGATAAAAATGCTATCCTAAATTACTAAAAATTAGTTTCAGTTAAATAAAACTAGTTTGGTAATTTGATTATTAACTAAACTAGTTTTAATACTTAACTAAACTAGTTTCAGTTATTCTAAACTACAAAATTTTAGTTTCAGACAGCAATACTAATAATACCAGAGTCTTAAGCTTAAAACAAAAAGAAGATCTTGAAAGACAAAAACAATACTCTCTCTTTTAGTTTTTAAATCACTGCCTTATTTCAGATATCAGCTTTAATATTAATTTCAAGAGATCTAGATTACGTTTTCTACTGGAATAATCAAGTCATAGATTGGTTAAAAAAGTTATTATTACCTATAGAAACAGGTTGTGTTAGTTCGCCTTTGATCTTCTCGAGTTTATTTTAAGCTTAATGATACAAAATTATAATTCTTTCAGAAGATAACCGAATAAAACTATCTCAGAATATCTTTGCTATTAATACAGTCTTCATTTGCCAATTACAAGAAAAGCATTCTACCTAAAGATGGTTTCCATAATTATTTTTAAAATATTTAACTAGTTGTAACTTAAGTTGCAACACTTTGAGTTGCAACTATTTATGAATTTTTATATTAAAATAAATTTACAAGGAGTTGCTACCAAGTTGCAACTTCTTAATTATGGTGTCCATCTTTAATTCTACCAGATAAATATTTTATTTTTTTTCATATAAATATCTAATTTTAGCTTTATTTTTGTAATAAGTAATTAAGAAAATGAATTCTAATCAACTTGATCTATTCAGATATAAATGAGAATGGAAACAAAACAAAAATAAAAAACATGAGAGAAAGTGCAAATAACACGATGAGCTAAAAGAATGAAAAAGACAGACTTGATACAATCATTAAAAATATGAATATATCCCAATTCCTCTCAGAAGATCTTGCTTTAACAGTAAATGGTTTGTGCTAAATTAGTTTACAATATGGTAGTAGCCAATTACCATTTAAGTCATAGGACCATAAGGCAATTTTTCTTTAGGATGCTTCTTTGGCTAAAGATTAAATATACAAAGGAATGAATTTTTATGGATAAGATTCCATATAAAGTATTGGATTATGCTATTTCAGATGTTATATAAGCAAGAGATGAAATTATCACAAGAAATAAAAAGAATCAATATCAACATCATTTTCTTCATTTTAGATCTAAGAAAAATGATTGTTAGACAATTACCATCTGTGCTCAATACTGTTGCAAACCACTCCATTTTTATATCAAGCTCCTACATAATAAGAAGCTTCTTGCTATTGATCCTAATCATCTATATCACAAAATGAAGCTACTATTTCATCATGAACATCGAAGATGCAATCATGGTTGGCTAAATGAGATTGGCAAAGTTAAAATAGACTCAAAGTTAATATACGAGAGGAAACTAGAATATTGGTCATTGTATGAGTACACAGATATCGATCCCAGAGTTCGCATCTTTCTTACATGGTATTCTTCCACAGTTAGTCATGGAAACATTGGAGACAATGATATCAATCGTGTTTTTCACTTATGGCTTGTTCTTGATGCCTTTGTCTCACTATCAGAGCATTAGCATAAAACGTAACTCTATTAAGCGCGCTCAAGCGCGTATGAGAAAACATATTCAAAATTTAGTGGATGAAGTACATAAAAAAACTGCATTGTGGTTGACTATGACTTTTGACATAATCGTGTTAGCATACAGATGTCTCATAGACAAAAAAGAAAAATTAATAGTAAAACAGTTTGAAAAATGATGAGCTGGGCGCCCGGGGAATTTTTCTCCGGGCATTGCTTGATGAAGACTTAGTTATGTAACATAATTATGCCAATTGATTGATTATAGTTGACTATTTTTAGCTATAATTGATCGATTCAATCCATCCGATAATAACATAGTCGGCTAAGACAATCGCACAAATGCGTCTTAAGGATATGTAATTATACAAATTATTTAATCTGTTTATTAAGGTTTTTCTTTTTATCAATCCATTATGATTTTTGCAAAATTCTATTATGTTGTAAATGAGAAAAACCCAGATGGATAATATACAAATTAGCATAAGTATTGCATCCCGCAATTATATTTCTCTTTTAGAGTTGATGAACGAACCTAATTAACAATATGTTTCCAAAAGGATATTTCAAAAAAATATATTTCTAAAATAACATGTTATTTACTTAAACAAGAGTCAATAATATCATTTAATATCATTTATAATTAAAAAGTTATTTAAAATGCTGGAAACACGGACAATAAATAATAATTGGCTGTTTAAAATTAAAATCTTAGATTTCCTTCATCGGCTCGGTCCTTCAGATCGGACCATTAACATCGGGCATAGATGGAAAACTTTCTTACACGTGCGACGACGTCTCCGACCGACAATATTATTGGTTGGATACATTCTATGAAACCCAATAACTTTTTTTAGTAGAGTTTCTATTAAGCTTGCATTTTTTTCATCAAGATCAGGGCTGTTGGTGGTCAAACTATATCGTTGTTTTTGCAGAATATTGCAAAATCGACAACAGTTTCAAAAATGAGCGGACTTACCGCTTCCCTAAACACCGAACTCTTGCAGCTTTCAAATGAAGCACGTAGGAAACACCCAGAAATCAAGGAGGTAATTTTACAACCTCGACCAGTATGCTTTTATCTTTATCTGCTGAATAAGATTTTTCGTATATAGGCAGCTGAGAGATCCCTTATAATTTTAAGAAGACTACTCAAAGAGCTACCTGAGACCGAAAATAATATATCACAAGGTTTAAATCTGTTTATTATAGTTTTTCTGTTGGTTTCATGATATGTAATACACCTTATTAATATACTTTTTTGATATTGTTCGGTTAAAAGAACTTGCAAAAAACAATGATTTCCTGCGTCCGTTTATCCTCGCATGTGAGACTAAACACGTCAAATTAATAACGACCTCTATAGGTTGCTTACAAAGACTTATATCGCACCATGCGATTCCAGATGTAAGTTGTAATATCAGCATTTTAAAAGTTTCATACAATACCGTAGTGTTAAAAGTTTTACGTTTATTAGTCTTCTGTGAAAACCATTCTTAAAACTCTAAACGACATTATGTCACAAGGTGTGGAAATTCAACTTAAAATTCTTCAAACCGTTCCGCCATTATTAAGTAATTATCAGGCTTTGCATGGGGATTTGTTGGCAGAGGTAATAATCAATTGTAAAAAAAATATATTTATATATATATGTATAATATAAATACATTTATAAAATTATAATACATCATTTTTTAAATTTGTAGGCGTTGTTGATTTGTTTCCGACTTCATGATTCAAAGATTGTAGTGGTTAATAATACAGCTGCCGCAACTTTACGTCAGTTAGTAATTAACATATTTGAAAAGGTTCAAGAGGAGGATGACATCAATAATAAAGATGGTATTTTTATTAAAGAAATTTAAAATCAAATTATATAGATTGATTACATTCACACTTATTAAAAGATTTTTATTCTTGTAAGGTTCAATAAAGCCTACATCTACCGCAGTATCAATTCATGGGGAAGGCGTAATTGCGCTTCGTCCTTGTGCAAGGGATGCATATTATCTTTTTCAAGATATGTGTTTATTAACTAATGGCGAAAATCCTGTATATCTTAGATTACATGTTTTATCAAGAACGTTCGGATTAGAATTAATTGAATCAGTATTAACAAATCATTCTAGATTATTTAAACCGGTTCGTGTCATTGTTTAGTATTTTCTGGTAATAATTAAATTTTTCGGATGAATTCTTAATTTATTTCATTTTACTTAAAAACAGCACCCAGAGTTTTGTTCTCTGTTGCGAGAACGAGTATGTCCATTAATTATTAAAAATTTCTCCGATAAATTTGATTTCCCTACTACCATGAGATTAATGAGATTGGTATACATTATATTGAAACAGTTCAATGAAATTCTGGTAATTTTATTTTATTTATTCATATTTAGGTCTACTTTTTCCTGATGTTTTTGGAGAGAGAGAGTAATTGAATTTTATTGTTGAATTATGCTTTTAAGAGTTATCGTTACTCTTTTATTATATTCCGGTGAAAACCCGCGAAAATAGGTGATGGAATGCGAAATCTTCTTGAATATGTTTATCAAAATTCTCGAGCCAGATAATCCATTGTGGCAACGCGTTATATCAATGGAAATGTTTCGTGGTATATGCGTTGATCAAGCACTTTTGCGTTCTATTTATCATTCGTATGATAAACAGAGTCATTCAACGAATGTATTTCGTGAAATGATTAACGCCTTTGGAAAGTTAGCAGCAGAGAAACCACAATTATTAGGTGTTGGAAGTCATTCGTTAGCTGGACATTTACATCAAGGAAGAGATAGTCTAGAAATGACTGGTGTTATGGGAGGTGTCGGACAAGTGGACATACCTGGATTAACCACCTCAACTTCAATAATGAAGGTTCAATGGTATGCATATTTACTTTATCATATAAGTTTTTTTTTTTTAAAAAAAAAAAGAAAAAATTGGGATAAAAAATTTTATCATTTTTTAAAGTTTCGATCAATTAGATAAAGTTGATCCTCCACCAATTCCAGAAACATACATATATTATCTTGCTCTCTTTTGTCTTAATTCAGTAGCTGATGGATTACACAGTTTTGTTTTGAATATATTGTCGGAGGTAATTCATAAACAAAAGTCTGAAAATCTCGATTCTCCTCCTCAATCCCCTACATATAAACAATCCGCGATCCTCGGTACCACTACGTTGCAGCAATTGGAATCGCATCCATTATATAACGATATATTACTTGTTACCGATATGGCTAATACTGCCTGGCCAGGTTTGCTTGCTGCGCAATCCTTTTTCCTCACAGCAAATCTTGATGAGGAATTGTTCCAAGGAGTTTTACGAGCTTATCAGAACTTTACGATCGTATGTGGCGTACTTCAATTGACCACGCCCCGTGATGCTTTTTTGACAAGTTTATGTAAAGGAGCTGTTCCGCCCAGCGTAATTGCTGCATCTTTGGCAGAAAGTAAAGCAGTTCATAGTGGTAGTTTAAGTACCTCGGGAGGTGAAGGCATGCAAGTTGTTACATTATCAGATGGAAATTTATCTTGTTTGAAAATATTATTGAATATTGCACAGTATCTTGGTGGAGTTTTGGGTGATTCTTGGTATCTGGTTTTGGAAACTCTTCAATTAGCGGATTTCATACTTTTTCCTAAACATGCTAGAGGTGTTTCGAGAAATCCACGTAGAATAGGTTTGCAAAATGCTGCATCTAATTCTGTAACTTCATTGCCTATCTCTCAAACTGCCGGAAGTTCTTCATCTTCAATTCAACAAATATCTTCCATTCCACCAAGCATAAAAAGAACCTATTCATCCAGTTCAACAAATCAAGCGAGTTTACCTGGTCCTACATCACCTCAACAATCTCAACAATCAGCAATTGATAATGATTTAAACATTTTGTTAATACAAATTAGAAAATTATTTGATAATTGTAAATATCTTGACGATAATGCTTTACAGGCCTTTACTAGAGCTTTGTGCAAATTAAACGCTTATACAATTGGTATCCCATTGGACAGTGAGAATTTAGTAGTGGGTCACGATCATGTATCGATGGAGGGTAAGGTAACCAAATCTACTCCGCTAAATGCTATGAGAGTAAATGTAAGATAAACAATTTTATTTTTCCCTTTCTATATCAAAGTGAATAATACGAATAATACAAGTTCCAATGGTTTACATGTCTCTCTCTTTCGTATGTAGAGATCAGATGAAAAATCCTTTGCTATCAACAAACTTCAATTAGTTGCATTAATTAACATGCCCAGGTTGATAGCATGTGAACCCTCTCTATTATGGGATTTGATAATATCTCATCTTATTAAAACTGCGAATTACGTATCTACTCCACAACCAATTCGCACGCATGCTTGTGAGACAATAGCAGACATTGTCACTCAGGCAATGGGTTATGCAAGTTCCGATCATATGGAAATTGATGAACGTTTGCAAATGCAATTGCTCACTTCGTTGAGTCAATTAGTAAATAATTCCGAAAAGAACACTCAAGAAATAGGTAAAGGATTTCATGTGGAAGTCCGAAAAATGGGACTTGAGACGTTAAATAAATTATTACAAACATCGGGCCATTCATTTACATATGGTTGGAGCATGATATTTGATATGATTAGAAGCGTATGTGTTATATCGTTTTCTAATGAATCTGGTGAAGATGAAGTGGATGTATCGAGTGTCGATAATTCAAACGTTATCGATACACCATCTTTTGGCGTTTCAAATACAAAAACTTCTGGTTTAGTCCGTGTAGCATTTCCTTGTTTGCAGCTTATATGTTCAGATTTCTTGTCCTTATTATCGCCAGAGTGTTTGAAACAATGTATCAATACGTTGGGCGCATTTGGTTTACAAATGGATGATCTGAATATCAGTTTGACTGCAATTGGTTTATTATGGAACGTCTCAGATTTTATACAAACAGAATTAGAAAAGAACTTTAAAACTTTTGTTGATGAAAGACCAGAAAATATTGAAAAAGATATTACTGTGGAACAAGAAATCGATCAAATTATTCAAAGTGATTTGAAACCTCAAGCAATGAATGCTCTATGGATGCTGTTATTATTACAACTTTCAAAGATTTGCTCAGATATTAGGCCTGAAGTGAGAAACGGAGCAAATCAAACTTTATTCCGTACAATTGACATGAATGGCGCTGTATTGAAAACCCAAACTTGGCACACTTGCATTTGGAAAGTTCTGTTTCCTTTATTAGATTCTGTGAAACTTGCTTCAGAAAGAGCAGTTAAGGCAATGCAACAACAGCAACTCAATGCAAGTGCCGAAAAACTTTCTTCCCCAATAAAAGAAATCAATGTCTTCATGATCCATCATTCTAGAAATACTATTGATAAACAGTGGGATGAAACGAAAGTTTTAGTATTAATTGGGATATCGGGCATATTTAAAAACTTTATACATTTTCTGATAAATCTGGATAATTTTGAACAAGCATGGGGATTGTTGTTGTCGCATTTGCAAGATTCTTGTTTAAACTCAAGTCATGAAGTTGCTATCGCTGCGATAAAATCTTTAAATGCAATAATTCAATTCCCTAATGATGACGTTCATACAGAAGAACTGAAAGAAAAGATTTTACCATTATGGCAAACTGCTTGGATTATCTGGGAAAGAATTGGATTGGGTATGATAACAATGTCGGATTCAATTCTACGTGAGAGTTCCTCCCCAGCTGAGACAACAAATATTGGACAAACACAATTTACTCAAGATACTTTAACTGCTTACGTTGTAACTTTTGGTGACCTTTATCATATCATCCACTCCAATTTTCAAATAGATGAAATAAAAAGGTTACTTAAAGTCATTAAAGGAATATTGACATATTCCAATAGTCCTTCTTATAGGCCAGATTGTGATTATCTTACTCCATTACAAGAAGCCGTATTAGATATTGTTTCTAGAATTGACCTGAGTGTCTCCGGTGCTCCTGCTGCAGTTTTATGTGAATTTGCAGATTATATAAATTTAGCTTTTACAAAAAAACGACGAGACGAAGAGGCCATTAAGGAACAAAAATCTAAAGATAATCACATTGGTTTGACTCACCAGCAGAAATCTATTAGCAATACAACTTCAACTAAAGGAGAAAATGGTGGCGTTGCCATGTCTAATAATAAATCTTATTCGACAGTTACTTATATTGTCTTTTCAAAAACCTCCATGCGTAAAGTAGAGGAAATGTTCAAAAATTTTGTAAATGATCAAGGAGTGTATTCTGAACGGGTTTTCGCAAGCATCATAAAGGTAACGTACCATATCCTCAATCATATTACTATGAAAAGAATTTTCTTGTTTACTTTTTTTCTTCATCGGTGAAAAAAAAAAATAGTCATACGGAGTTCCTATGAAGTTGAAATATGATTGCCCTCCATCAGGAAAACACGTAGAAGATATCGAACTTTGGAAAATTGCAACAACAGCTTTCCTAGAAATTGTAAAAAACGGGTTGATTGCACTCGAGAACTTTGGTGATGGTAAGTCAGTCTTTGTCTGATATTTGGTTTTTAATTTGTCTCACGTGAATTAAAACGTTATATATGTGCAGCAATCTCAGATGAATGTTTCGTCGATATATGGAAACAATTGACGAAAGTTCTTCATGGTGCACTTATTTCTAACAGGTAAATATGTTTATTGACGTAATTTTCCGTGAATTTTTGAAAATTTTGTGACTTATGTTCAATCTTTTTATTTACCAGTAAACCTTCAACATCTATTAAGATCGATCAACAAGATACCGATGAAGCATTTGATATGAAATTTTTATTTCGATTACAATCAGACGTAATGATTCATATGGGTCGCCCTCGTGTGCCACAAAATCTTATAATGGACTTGATAAAAACTATTCAAGAAGGATCACAGCTGTACTCATCTGACGTGGAAAGACAGGGAGTTATGAATGGTTATTTAGATAAACCATTACCGGTACCGGTACCAAATGGTGCATCATCTCATCAAAAAAAATCTAAACCTCCGGAAAAATTGTCTGAAAAAGTTGAAGGTGTAACTGCAAAAATCATACCTGTAGCTAAGGAAAGATTTGCATATGCTTGTTTACAATGTTTATTTGATTTATGTTCTGAAGATCAGACTGGTGACGAAGAAATAAAGCATAGAATAGCAGAAGTTGCCGCTCCTATTTTATTAGAGCGATGTGCTTCTGTAATACGTAATTATACAGCAGATCAACCTTTACTCGGGAAAGTACCGTTTCCAAGGTTAGTTCAATTGGTGGCGCTATATAATAAAAAACGTAAGAGGGTGAATTGGTTAATAAAATAATACACGATTTATAAACATTAGCCTTTCTTCCAGGGTACGAAATGACGAAATCTTATTAATTCTGCAACAATTGTTGAAGTTGAAATTTCGCCGGAATATTTTACACGTCAGCGAGGAAAATACAAAATCTAGTAAGTTCTTTTTCATAATTGGCAATCTTGTAAATGGTTGATGATCTTAATAATGATGAATGGAATTTTTATTAATAATAGATTCATTGAAAAAACAAATTTTATCTGGACCTATTGCTCACCTATTTTATTTATATCCCGTTATATGTGAAGCAATTAACTTACCAGATGAGACTATTGGGATTTTATTAAAGGAATGTTTAAGAAAAGTTGGTGATGAATTGGGAGTTTGCTAAATTTAACGATAATTTTTTAATTTTTTTTAATTTTTATAATAATTTATTGGAAACTTTGGACTAAATTTAATTATTATTTAGAATTTTTATAAATACAATCACGAGTCGTGATTTATATGTAGTAGATAATCATTTCCATATTCAGATTTTCTAGAAGTGTTTAATGTTACATAGAATTTTCCGTAGAGCATCGTGTCGGTTTTCTTGGCAGTTTATGTCATAAAAATGTAAATCCTCACCACCCATCATGTTTTTCGGAAATTTATGGATGAAATAAAAGAAGAGATGAATGAAATCCGTCATCTGATCTAAACGAGCGTCATACGACCGAGAATATAGCATGGTTTAAAAAAACCAATTCCGGTGAAAATCATCCTGGTCATGTTACAAAATATGCTTAAATCTAACACAGGGGTCATATGTCATGTGATCAATTAATTTTAATGTATTTTGTTATAAAATATAAAGACTCCCTTTTTGTGTATCCAATCGCTATATTTTTTTTTTTTTTTTTGCAAAACCAACTAAACGAAACCAAACCAAACTTACATCTATAATAGAATTAGAAAACTCCTCAACTTTGAAAAGACATAAAAGAAATGTCACCGCAACCACCACAAGATCAACCACCCGCTATTCGTATAGTACCTCATATAGAGGGCCCTCGCTCCCTGCATTTTGATATCATCGAGCGGGAGATACCTGAAGGAGTCGTTATAAAAATTGGTCGTTTTACAGATAAGGCTCATGTTCCTAATAGAGTTACGTTTAAAAGTAAAGTTGTATCCAGGGGCCATGCAGAAATTTGGTGTGAAGGTGGAAAGGTATATAATAAAAAATTTTTTCATTAATAGGCTAGATAGGATTAAGTGGAGCGTGGGTAAATTAGTATTATTGAGGGAAAAAACATAATTCACAATGAAAATGGTACTTCTCGGCAATTAAATTAATTAAATAGGAATTTAATTACTAATAGATATTAAATTGCTCTGTTTTGTTATCCGAATAAATTTTTTATTAAAAAAAAAAAATTTTTTTTCTTTCTATATATATGCATATGTATATAGTTTTTCATTAGAGACACAAAATCTTCATCCGGCACATTCCTTAATCATAATAGATTGTCCGCTCCAGGACTTGAAAGTAAAGCAATCCCTTTGAAAGATGGTGATGTTGTTCAGCTTGGAGTTGATTATCAAGGAGGAACAGAAGGTGAATTTATTTATAAGAATAAATTAAGAATCTGAATGTTTTTAATTACAAATTTATTTATATCCTTCATATTTTTTAATAGAAATTTATCGATGTGTAAAAATGCGCATCGAATTAAATCGTTCATGGCAAAGAGACGTTAACCCATTTAAGTAAGTTTCTCTTTTTTTTTTAAATATCATTATGAAGTTTAAATTTTTATCAATAATTTATTAATTTATTTAAATTTAAAAAAATATATATATTAATATTATTATGCGAAATAACTTGTAATATTTTAAGTTTAAATGCTTTGAAACAATTCGAACAATTGACTAGTCCAGACGGGTTCAAACCAACTACAGCTACAGATTGTTGTATTTGCTTATGTGGTATTGCCCCCTGCCAAGCATTATTCCTTGCACCTTGCTCTCATGTGTTCCATTATAAATGTATACGACCACTTTTAGTTAGTTATCATCCGGGCTTTTTATGTCCTCTCTGTCGGAGTTTTGCAAATTTAGATGCAACTATTGATAACCCGGTTGATTGGAAACAATTGCTTGCTGAACAAGAGGAAGCCGAGAAAAAACAAAACAAGGAAGTTTTAAAGAGTGGCACGAATGAACAAAGTACCCAGGAACAAATTACTGAAATAAATCACAATATTATTCCTTCAGCTTCACAAATTACAAATACAGTAGAAACTTTAAACACAAATAAGGACGAAAACATACAATTAAGTATATCACAAGAAGAAATTAATAAGTTTGGTCGATCCTCTATTTCTCCAACTCCTGCCACATCATCACCATATTTTTCAGTTCCCATACCTCCAAGAAACCGAAAAACATCAAGTTCTTCAGATGAATGTGAAGATCCCAATTCTATGCTAAGTCGTACATTACCTTCAAGTCCTCCATCAGTTCAAATTTTGACTTTTCTCGATGAATGTGTTGATAATGGATCGTCACCACAATCAAGTCAATTATTAAGAGAACAAGCCGGGTCACCTAGACTCGGTGAAATTGCTGAAGAGGATGAAGGCACGATGAGTTCATCTTCAAACCCTTCTGGGCAAAGTCAAAATAATGGAACGCATGATTCTAGTTCTTCAGCAAGTTCGAGTGATAATGATGACGATGTTGTGCCGATAGGATTATTAAGAGCAAATGTGAATGGTCACAACGAGGATGATATCAGCAATGGATATGTTGAATTATCATCAAGTGAACAGACAGCAAGTTCGCGAGTAAAAGGAAAAGGAGTTGATCGGTTAGGAATTGATGAGAATGAGAGGGAAAATGTTTCATGAAAGACTGATGATATTCATGGAATAAAAATTATTATTATTAATTGGACTTTTTTAATTACATGCGACTTATTGTTGTAAGTTCATTTTTCAAACCGGTTGAATGCTGAATAACAAAAATATCATTTTTAACAATTTAATTTTATGTATTTTGTTGTCTATTATAAGAAAACTAGATTTATTTTTTCTTAAGATGGGGGTTATGTTTGTATGTTAAATTTTGCTGTATAATGAATGCATTTATTATTTTATTATTATTATTTTTTTTCTTTTTTTTTTTTATAAAAAAAAAATAACTTTTAAATTATATATATTTTTTTTTCTGATTCATATTAATCTCTGAAAAAATAAAAAATTAGCAAAATCGGAATTAGGTTTTAGTTTCCTTTTTTTTGTAATAATATATAAATGTTTTTTTTAAAAAAAAAAAAAAATTTGAATTTAATAGCGAAAATTACAGGTGATTTTAAATGAAATCTTTAAACATTATTCATTCATTTTTAACAAATGCAGATTTTGTTTATCATTGATATAACATTATAGTTTAGTTTATTATTTGGTAGTCAATCTTTTTAAGGTGTAAATATAATTGATAAACTTTTGATTCGAATGATAAAGTTTTTGTAAATGATGTAGATTAATAATATATTTTGGACGTACTAGCAGATTTATTTATTTACTTTAAAAGGATTTCTATGTATCAAAAATAATGGGTCCATAACAAATTTAGTTAGTCAATTTTATTATAAAAAAAAATAATAAATTTCTCTCATTTATATTATAATGAATTTTAAATATTGATCTTTTACTGTAAATTTAATTAATTTATTATATAATTAAATATAAATAAATGTCAATAAGTAAAAAATATTTTAATTATATACAATTAATTGATATTATTAAATATATTTTTTTAGTAAAATAAGATCAAATTAATTCAAAAAAAAATTTTTTTTATAGCTTTTTTTTCTTTCTAAAATCAATGTAATTATAAAAATATATTAAAATATATAAATTGTTATTTTATATAAAAAAAAATAAAATTAAACTAACTATCTAGTAAGAGGTGTGTAATTACTTTCTAATCAAAATTTAATCATAAAGAGCTGTGATTAATTGAGTTATTAAAGGAGAAAGAAGTGAAAGTAGTAGATTTTGAGAAGAAGATAAGATTTAATGAAAACTATAGACTGTTATCAATCTTATATTCAGAGAAAATATTGTATCATTTAATCTATAATTTAAAAAAATTCATATTGTTTAATTTTTATATTTCAAGAATTTATATATAAATCATGATACATTGAAGAAACAAAATTTTGAATACTATATTATTTTTAATGATAATATTCACTAATACAGTGGCTTCCAAAAGAAACGCAAGTGGCATTGCTTGCCTTTAAATGCCTGTAACTCACTGTGCACGAATGCTA